ATTGATCAAATAATAAGCAATCATTCGTTCTCCTCTCTTTTATTATTTTTAATTATTTTCCTCCTTCTTAATTCTATTATCGGAAATAATGACTAATGAGGGCGACCCTATTAAAATCAAATACCGAGGAAATCTAATAGAATAAGAAAACCGTTTTCTCTTCCCATCTATTGTTTTCAACTTTTTCTTCCATTTTTAATTTCGATATTAAGATTAAGGAAATTCGCGGTATCATTCCCGCACCAATAGTGCAAGATAAAAGGGTCGTGCCAAGGCTTACTCCCGTATTCCCATCCCGCAGCTAGCTGCTTCGGGAATAGATTCGGAACAAGCGGAAGAGAGGTGGGGCACAGCGTGGTAGAAGCGGTAACTCCCCTTGTTAATTTGAGGGTTACTATCAGTGGTTAGCACACCCAAAATTGGGGATGCTCTGGGTACCTCTAATTTTCCCCGTGAGGTCAAACAAGAGTACCGTCAAAATACGGTCTAGTCATCGGGTCGAAGACTCAACACCGCTGATGTAGGGTGGTCCACTGCCTGTGGCCGCCCGACAGCTAGCCCGGACCTCTTCTCGACGCCCCCGTCGAGCCCTAGCAACTTACGTCACACGAAGCGGACGAGCTTCAGGGTGATGGCCCGTAAAGAACGCCCTCGTCGGCGTTCAATTGTCTTATGTTTCAGTTTGTTATGAGTCCTGGGGCTAGGAAGATGCTTCTTGTCTCTCCTGTTTGTTCTGGTTTTTGGCCCCGGCACGATCCTCTTTTTCTTAAGTCTTTGCCCCAAGAAGGGTGCTGACCCGCCAGTACGTCTAACGCGAACTCTCTGTCTAGCTCGCTTGAGCACGAATAACCATCTCTTCTCTCTTCCTAAAGCTAACCCTTTTACCGTTCTCTTCTCTATTATTTTCCTTTTCTTGGAACTCTCCCCTGCCTCGAATCGCCTCAGACAGCTCCATCCTCCATTATGGCTTTTCCTTTCCCTTTCAGGCTGGTCAGTGATAAGGCGGGCGCGGGTCTGGGCCTAAACAACTTTAACCTAGCACCCGCCACTAGGTCCTTCCACTTGGATCCATCTAATTCTGCTATCATATATGCACCCTAGTCGAGTGCCTCAACCACTTTGTAAGGTCCCATCCATCTGTTCGCGAGTTTTCCAGTCCAGGTTCTTTCCAGCGCTGCATCGTAGAGAAGGACCATATCTCCTACACTCACCCTCTCCTTCCTGATCCGCACGTTCTTATCCCATCTTTCTTTACCCTTGTCCCTTTCCACTGCCAGACGATCTGCCGCTGTCATGAGTTCATCTTCCAAACCGTAGGCTATCTGTCTTGTTCGGGCAGCTATGAGTTCCTCTCTGGACATCTCCTCCGCCCAGTCGACGGTTGTCCAGCTGTCGACGTGAAACTCTATGGGAAGCAGACAATGCCGCCCAAACCATAAGGTGTATGGAGGGTATCCCGTGCTAGCCCGGACCGTGACGTTGTTCGCCCAAATTGCGTATCGAAAATATCGTGGCCAATCACTGTCCTTACCTCTGCACCACTTGGATAGCGACGCTATCAAGGTCTGGTGCCCTCTCTCTACTGGGGAGTTCGACTGCGGGTGATAGGCAGTAGCTATCGAAACTCTCGCCCCAACTCTTTTGAACACACTCTGCACCTCGTTAGCTAGGAATTCTGCCCCTCTGTCCATCACTATCTTGCTGACACAACCATACCTAGATAAGTACTCTAGGACGAAGTTCTTCACTTCCTTTGCCGTGTTACTCCTGATAGGCCTACCGTCCACAAATCCCGTGAAGTCGTCTCGTATGTTCACGACATAGTTCATATTGCCGACCCCTTTCGGCATCTTCACCAGATCGATGTGTACCTTCTCTCCTGGTCTAGTTGGATAAGATGGATGAAGTGGCTCTTTGTATTTCACAAGAGCTCTCTTTTGGCATTCTTCGCAGGTCATACAGTACCTCTCGACGTCCTTATACTGTCCTTCCCACCAGTASAACCTGCGTACCTTTTCRWAGGTTCCTTTGACTCCCCTGYGTCCTCCGACTACCCCGTCGTGAAGCTCCGCAACTATTGTCTGTCTCTCCTCAGGGTTACAGACTACTCGTAAGGGCATTCCCGAGCCGCCCGGCCTCCGAAACAGATGGCCAACTCTAAGGCAGTACTTGGCCTCTTGTCTCCGGATATCTGATTTTTGACTCTCCTTTCCTTACAAATGTAACCCGATCATTCGGTATTTGCCCTCGTAAAGGTTAACCAGAAATCGCTCGGTGCGTCCTGGCTCTGCCATACTCAGGGCCCCGGCTACTATCGGGCGCTCGGCCTCAAGAGGGATGCGCGAAAGTCCATCTGCCACGGCATTTTTAGTGCCAGATATCCTCTCAACCGTGTAATCATATACCCGAATCCATATTAACCATCGTGCAATAGTCGGGTCTGTCAGGCTAAAATCCTTCTAGAGGACAGAGGCAACCGTGGTGGGATCTACTCTCAAGATGAACCGCCGTCCATAGATATAATATCTGAACGTGTCTGGCCACCGCAGAACAGCTAATACTTTCTTCTTGAATTGACTGTAGTTTCGCTCCGCCATATTAAGTGTCCTACTCTCAAATCTTAATGGTCTTTCTTTTTCTTCAGCGTCCTTCTGCGACAGCAACCCTCCTACCGAACAAGGCCCAGCATCCGTGGCTACTATGAAGGGTCTCCCAGCCTCATCATCAAAGTACGGCACGCCCAGTGCGCGTCCTCCCTCCTTAAATTCATCTTTAAGCTTTTGCATAGCGAGTTCTTGCGAGGAATCCCAGTAGAATTTATCAGTTTTTCGAAGGAGTAGTCTCAATGGCTCAGCCTTCTCTGCATACCCTCTTATGAATATTCGCCAGTAACCGACCACTCCCAGAAACTGTCGGACCTCGGTTGGACTATGTAATGGTGACGGTCAGTTCAGGAGTTTGTCTAACTTCGCCAGATCTGCTCGGCGTCCCCTCGAATTACAGATAAAGCCCAAGATCTTAATAGTCGAGACAGCCCATCGACTCTTTGTTCCGCTGACTGTTAGATTCACATCGTCCAGCTGCTCGAGTACCGCGCTAATATCCGTTAGGTGCTACTCGATGAATCTTCTAACTCCAGGTGCAACCTCTGCCTCATCCTTGTTTACTGGCCCTTTTATAGGAAAGTCATCCACAAAAACTTCAACCTTATCAGGGATGAAGTCCCTGAGGACGGCTACCATAGCTCTCTGAAAAACGGCTACCCCATTAGTCCAACCCATAGGGACAACCATCATCTGTATTAGTCCCAATGGCGTATGCATAGCCGTGAGGTGCCTGTCTCTAGGGTCAAGTGGCACCTCATCATAGCCTGAGAACAGATCACAGACCGAATAAATTGACCTACCTGCGGCGCCTTTTGCCAGTAAATCGGCGTGTGGCACGGAGCCCACGTCTCGTATCGTCACCACGTTAACCTTTTGAAGGTCCTGGATCCATCGGATCTTGCCATTCAGCTTTCGTAGGAAGAACCATCGATTAGCATAAGCGCTATCAGACGGCTCTGCAACATGGGAAACCATCTTTTCTTTCACGAAAGCGATAACTTCTTCTTTCTCCTTCTGGGCGTATTTTCATCCCGCGTCATTCCAGGGAACATGTGGTATCGTGTAAATCCTTGTTGGCTTAGCGTATCAAGGGTCAACCCTACCGCGCTCCGCGTCACTAAAAGCTATGGCCTTATCATATGTCTTCAGGATTTCTATCACACGTTCTCGCTCTTGTGGGTTCAAATTCCCATCTTCGATGTCTATCCCTGCTGTCCTCTCTTCCGTTAGGCGTTGCGGCTCGTTTCTCTTTCTTTCTTTTATTTCCTTCGCGATCTCTTCTTTCGATATCCCTTCCAGTGCAGATCGCTCGCGGCCCACCGCCGCTGGCTTAACTTTTTGAGCTACTCGCTCGTGTCGCTTAGGTAGCCCCCCATAGGGGGCCGTGCCCTTAAAAAAAACACGGATACCACACCGCCAAATTCTTCATCTTTTTCCTTTGGGTACGAGTTGCCGTCCACTATTAGCTGACTCCCTATATCTTCCACCTCCACGATCCGACCTTCTTCCTCTGTGAGCAGTGGTCCATATTTCTTCTCGCGAAATCGCACCGCGCGGCCGGAGATAGGCAACGACTTAATCTGATCACTAGGTCTCGCACCCACAGCGAGAGTTGCTCTGTTCCTCGGGTCCCGAGGCTCCACTGTCTCAATTATTACCCGCGTCCCGTCTGGCTTCTTAATGGACAATGTTTGGCTCCCATCAGGTCGCTCTATCATCACCGCATGCACGTGGCTCAACCACGTTCGACCCAAGAACAGGTCCAAGCTGCAGTTCTTGACTGCAAAGACAGGCAGGGTCACTCGTACCCGTTGGACCTCTATGGCTGCCTTGTGACAAACCCCAGTGATCGCTTGCTTTCTCCCATCAGCCGTCTCTATCTCGAATAGGTACGACCTGTCGAGGCCAGTCCAACTTGTACTGCCAGGTCCTCGTCTATGATGACAGTCTCACTGCCGTTATCGATCACAGCATCGAGTACCGCTCCATCGTTTATAATTGTCTCCACGGCCCCGCTACCAAGTATATAAAACTTGTCTGGAGGCACACCTTCCATTCCATCGAGAAGGACTGTCGCCATGCGATCCGCTCTGGCAGTCACCCCCGTTACCGCTACTCTAGAAGCTTCCGCCTTAGGGCCCCCCTGACCCTCCTCCGATAGAGGTATGTGAGTCTTCCGCTTGATCATCTGTAATTCATCACGAGCCGGCTTCGATGCCGCCACGTACTCGAGAATAGAGCACTGCATGGGCTGCCGAAGGGCCCGCCTCAGTGGCTCGACCGTGTCAATCTCGTCCAGCGAACTCTTCATTAAGAACTTCTTCACTCCCCGCTTTCGCGGCGAAAGGATAACCTCCTCTCCATCGACCYGCTGCCYGTCYTTCTCCGCCATCACGTAATCCGTGTCAGTCTTCTTCGATGTAGACCCTCTCGCCGACTTGGTGGCTGCCACCCTTATGGGTGTGGTCGCGATATCCCCCTCAAAGGTTATCTTGATAGTCTGGCTCCTGACCGGCTCCATTCCCTTACTCGGCTTTACTCTCCTTGCTTCGACATTCTCCTTCATCGAAGAAAACATCGATACATCTCCCAGATCATCTACCCACTTGACGTACTTGCGGTCGTCAAGCTCAACAAGTCCCTCATCTATTGCCCGTTTGAGGTCCGGGCAATCCCTCTTGATATGATCTTCTCCTCTACAGTAGACGCATGAGTTCCTGGGAGTAGATGGCCTGTCGTCTGCGCTTCTAGAGATCGGACCCTTGGTTGACGAAGGGCCTGCCTCAGTGGCTCAACCGTGTCAATCTCGTCCAACGAACTCTTCATTAAGAACTTCTTTACTCCCCTCTTTCACGGCGAAAGGATAACCTCCTCTCCATCGACCCGCTGCCCGTCCTTCTCCGTCATCACATAATCCGTGTCAGTCTTCTTTGATGTAGACCCACTTGCCGACTTGGTGGCTGCCACCCTTATGGGTGTGGTCGCGATATCCCCCTCAAAGATTATCTTGATGCTCTGGCTCCTGATCGGCTCCATTGCTTTACTCGTCTCTATTCTCCTTGCTTCGACATTCTCCTTCATCGAAGGGAACATCGATACATCTCCCAGATCATCTGCCCACTTGACGTACTTGCGGTCGTCAAGCACGACAAGTCCCTCATCTATTGCCCGTTTGAGGTCCGGRCAATCCCTCTTGATATGATCTTCTCCTCTACAGTAGACGCATGAGTTCCTGGGAGTAGATGTACTGTCGTCTGCGCCTCTAGAGATCGAATTCCTGGCCGCCTTGGGGTCAGGCGACTTGGGATAAGGCTCTGATGAGGCGTCATATCCCCCTCTCTCATTCCGACCGCGCAAATCGCTGCGGAGGTCTCCTTCAGACCCCCCTTGCTCATACCGCCCTCGTGAATCATTCCGGCGGTCCCCCGAGTTATATCGCCCTCGTGACTCATCGCGTCGGTCCCCTCGGTTGTACAACCCCCGCGACTCATCGTGCTGCTCTCTCGCATCTCCCCCTCGCTCAAACCATCCGCGTGACCCATCTCGTCGTTCCCAGTCCCAATCTCCTCTTTCATACCTACCACCTCTGTAGCCATCTCGACCCTACCTCTCGTATCTGTCGTCCCTATATCCGTCTCGGTCCGATCTCTCGTATCTGTCGTCCCTATATCCGTCCCGGTCCGATGTCTCGTATCTGTCGTCCCTGTATCCATCTCGTCGGCCCTGATCTGTCTCCCATCGGCCGCGGGAGTCGCCTCTATCCCGATCGGCCTCATAGCCAGGGCTTCGCGGGTAATCATCCTGCCTCCTTGCTCGCGCAAACGGCTCGCGATCTCTGCGGTCTCGGTCTATCTCATCATCCCTTCATCGCCATGGCTCATCGTCTCTCTCTCTTCCCCTCATACGATAATCAGTCAGCGTCCGAGGATTTCTATCCTCGACACTCCTCCAGGAATCGTTGTTCCTACGGTCCCAGCGAAGTGAATAGGGCCCTCCAGGTTTGTCCCGGTAGGCCCTGACCCCTGCAGTGGTCACAATCTTTGTAACCTGTCTCGTCAATCCCTTCACCATGTCCTGTATCTCCTTCACTTTCTCAGCCACGACCTCATTCTTCTCCGACCAGGGATAGTCTTTAAAATCAGGACATCTATCAGTGACATACTCCTTGTAGAGAGAGAAATCACGTCTCCTCATCCCTCTCCACACCAGGTCCTTGTAATCGTCTGCCTCTGCCTTTATCGCGAGCTTTAGGACTTCTGGGAAATCAAGCCTGTTGCGCGGAAGATCTCTAAGTATACTCTTTTGCCTACCTTTAGACAGGTGTCCGATGAAGATAGTACAGCGCTCGACCTCTGAGATCTTCCCCTTCTTCATCAGCACGTCGGAGATCTTCTCGAAACGCATCCCAAATGCCCGTACGCTCTCATCTTCATCTTGAGTCATTGTTTCAAGGTCCTTGATGGAATACTTGTTATCCTCCAATTTGTAAAGCTCAACGAGGTTCTTCTTGTACGTAGTCCATTTTCCATCCTTCGGGCAAGCTTCCTTAACTTCCCTACCGAGACTTGGGTCCACATTAAATAGGAAGTTCTCTATAATCTCTTCCTCCGACCACTGACTCCGGCTGGCGTGAAGCTCCCACTTCTCCAGATATTCTGTGATACCATAGCCCCTGAAGGTAGGAGGCTCTGAGGCCTTGTGCGTAATAATAAAGCGATCCTTGCTCTCGTAAGGGAGCGGATGTGACTCCCTTGTCTGGGGGTCGAAGACTCGCCTCGGCGGCGCTCTGTCGCTATCTCTGTCCCTCCAATAGGAATCCCTCAAACTCTCTCTCCAGTCGTCTCTGTGCCTGTCCACTATGGTGTTCCTCCGCTCGTACTCGGGGGAGCGTCGCCTCGTCGCTTCTCGTCGTCCGCTCGAGGTACCCGTCTTTAGAGCCTCCTGCGGCTCTGTCACAACTGGTTCGCCCCTTACGTCGGGTCCTCCGTCATCGGTTTGGTCAGCCCATCTCAACGGTGCTTCTCGCCTAATTCGTTCCTTCAGATCCCTCAGAGCTCGGTCGGGCGATGTCCTGTACTCCTCTCCCGCTTCGCCCGTGGTCGGTTGTGGCCCCATCGTGTCGGGTTCCATTGGACCGCCGGAAGACGCAGTTAGGTATTCTAGCCAACTGTTACAGCCCGACCCTATGACAGTCGCTGCAGCCCGGACCTGTGACAGTTGCGGCAGCCCGGACCTGTTTCCTTGTCACGCCTCGCGTCCGCCTCCAATCCTAACTCTTGACTGCTTTGATTACCACTTCCAGTATCCCGTACCGGTCGCGGATCTCGTGCTCTCCCTCTATCCCAAGAATCCCTGTGTCTAAGTAAACCTCTCCTTCCGGATCAGCCAACAAGGCCGTGCCTCTCCGGATCTGCAGTACACCCGTGACTGGACCTCTATCCTTGAGACAGATCGCAGTCCCAAACCTAGCCAATGTCTTCTGATCAACACCCCTCAAGAGTCTCTGAGCGTCTATCTCCGTCCTCCTTGCTAGTTCTCCTAGCCCGTCCTGAATCGGGTAGCCCGCTAAAGGAGGAAGAGTCCCTCCTACTGTCATCCAAAGTCGCCCATCGACCTTTCTAGCTTCCACTATCCTTCCAAGAGCTTCCAATTTCTATTTCCACTCCCTTATCTCACAGACGACTACGAGGTCATTTGTCTAGCAACTGAGGTAAGTTACTGTTATAACCACTTGTAACCTCATCGCCGACCGCTCCAATATGTCATAAAATGTCTCAAAGTCCTCCATATCTCCACCATCCTCTATCGCCTCTAAAGTCTTTATCAATTCCTTCCAGTACCGGTCGTGAGCGAATAATAGATGTAATCTAGGTCGGCAGGCCTTCTCGCCAGGATCTTGAGATCCTGATAGGCCAGGTATCTCTCGACCACTTCACCAATACCTCCAAAGATGTTTTCCACTACAAACGTCGGAACTATCGCCCGCAGGCTCCTTACGCAGTACGGGAAAAACCCGTCCGGTGCTACCATCAGCTCGTCCGTGATATCAAGAGGAGGGCGTCCGTGAAATAGGGTCAACGGGTCGCTCGAGTCCTCCGCTCGGAAGGCAGCTACCTCTTCCCCAAGGTAGCGTAACGCCCTGCTAACCGTGCCACTAGTCCCTGTCGTCGCGAGGCCGACCACGGCCTCCCTGACCGCACCCGGTCCGAGATACAAGTAGGCTCTCACTACGCCCACTCCTTGTCCCGGCCCGTGTTCTCTGTACGTCCAAAGCCACACGTCCTCGGACAAGATTATGGACCTCCACGCAAACTGGCCGTCAGCGTGTCGAATGTCGCGCCCGGGGATCGTGAGCTCCACCAGATCCCCCTCTATGAGTTCAGGGGGCTCCAAGTCCCAGTCGATGGTAGCCCCATAGACCTCTACTTGCACCCGCGGCCACATTCAACTGGCGGCTAGAGAGAACGCATTAAGAGGGAGGTGTAGATTAATAACTGAAAATTCTCGTCGCTTGCCTCACGCCTTTGGGAACAAGCTAGTAGGTTCACCCGAAACCGGGTTACTGCAACATCTCTTTCCCTTCTTCTTCTAGGGAATTCTTTTGTATTTTTCAATTATAAATTAAAGAAAATATATTTAGTTAGGATAAAATTTCTTTCTTAGTTTATATATATTGAGGATCAATACATATATAAGCCCGAGAAGTTTGATGATTTTTAGGGGATGAAATAAAATTTGGGGAATTGACTAAAATTTCGGCAGCGTTTCGCCTCCGCCCGTTGGGATGGGGTTCGGACGAAGCCTTCAAACGGCGCTGCCGAAGAGGAAAAATCAAAAGGAATAATGGAAAAAAAGGAAAATTGATTTAACTCGATTTTTTAAAAATATTTTTGTTAATTAATTGGCAAAAATTTAAATTAAAAGGGAAATTTCAAAAAATTTCGACAGCAGTTTTCCTTCCCCCCCGGTAAGATGGGGTTCTGAAAAAAGTCCCTCAAATAGGTAAAGCAGATATGAAGAGCATTGAAGTCAAACAAACGCCCCTATGCAATTTTTAATATTTATTTCAATTTTTTTTATCGATTTTAAATAATAAAATCAAAAGTAAAATAATTCTTAATTATTTAATGGGGCAAAACTTCCCGAATTAATTTCCACAATCTTACGGGATATATTTGACAAAAAATAATCCGTAATAAATGCGGAAGCTAAAAGCTATGGCTTCCCTCTATCTACCTGTATGGGTTTTGCGCGCAACCGCGCGAACACCGCAAAGCCCTGTTCGACGCGACAAAATTTCTGTTACCTTTCACTAGTTTTCGAAGAAAAACTTATTGGATTATATTTTTAATTTTTTTTTTTTTAATTTAAACAAAATTACAAAGAAATTCAATTTCCCGTTGATTTTTTTCCACATTTTCTATCTGTTGGAGCTCGCTGTTTGTCCAAACAAAGTTTTTTTTCCCCAACTAGGGTCTCAAAATGTTGGGAAAAATATAGGGACCAACTTTGATCCCCGCGGGGTTCCCCTAATTTCGCTTATTTTCCCGACTATTTCAATGAAACAAAAATCAAAATTTTTGGAATTTTTATTCAAAAAATACAAAAAATTTCATATCTCGCTTTTTAGCTGTTCGAATTTCTCAAAAAATATCTCAAAACGTTCGCCTCGATGAGAGGACGAACTTTGCTCCACGAGCGCCTCGCACGAAAGCGCGCGGATCAGGAGATATCGAGGAAAAACCAATTAGAAATTTTAACTCCTGATTTTTGGGATTTTTAATTAAAAAAATACAAAAAATTCCATATATTTTTGTCTAGCCGTTAGAATTTTTCAAAAAACATCTCAAAACGTTTGCCTCGACGAGAGGGCGAACTTTGCTCCCTGCGCGGCTCGCACGAAAGTGCGCGGATCGGGAGATATTTCAAAAAAAATAAATAAAATGATTATAAAAAATAAAACTAATAAAGAAAACAAGCTAATTAGTGTTTGACTAATCAGCCCGTGCACCCCCGTTGGTTGGGGAAGGCCGTGGCCTTGGGGGTGCTGCTCCCCTCCCCGGCAACGGCGCCATTGTTGTTAGGAAACCCGGGGAGGGGTCGCCTACCGCTCGCTGAAGCCAAGGGCAACGGCGCCTGTCACTCGCCGCGCCCGCTTTCGAGGTCCTCAGCGACCAGGGCGGTTCAGGGCTTGTGCTGCCTGTCATGCGCCCACTTAGAGCTTGAGTCTGAAGGCTCAGACCATACACTAAAAAAAAGAAAAATAAAAGGTTGACAAAAGAGGACTGCAGTCCTGCGAGTATGAGATCTGTATCGAGGACCTCGTGGGAACCGTCTCAGATATTCAGGGATATAATCTGCAATTTGTCTGTCCGTGGAACGGGAAGAAGTTTTGTCTGAACAGCAGATTCAACCCGCAGGCAGGGCACATGTGAAACTGGGTTTAAACCTTCGGGGTCCATCCGCAATTTAGTTCAAACAAAATGTGGCCATGTCTCCCCCAAAGATTTAACCTCAGGGAAAGCTATGTGGGAGTAATCTCTCGAGAATTCCAGAAATATTTCAGGGATCACCTCGACATACCTCCCCCTTTACTTCAACCCCATGCTGGTTTTATGTAATGCCAATGGTTTATACCCCTGGAAAACCCACAGCCAATGGTCGAACTCCCAGCAAACGCTGCGCATTGGGMCGTTACACTCCTAAGGGCATTGACYTGTTGCCCATTCGCAGGCGCTATGATATCAAAGGAACGTCTCCSACTGAAGCTTCCTTTTTCAACAGAAATAGAGTGACAGAACCCAGGGGCGGCATATAATAATAAAATTATTATAAAACTATATATGTTATAATATGTATATGAAATTGTAGTGGACGGAAAAATATCAGGAGACAACTTCCTGCAGCTAATTAACAGCTGAATGATGGTGGAGAGACGTTTCACCATAGAGCCTCATCGGTACCGTCTGATTGAGAAAACCATAACAGTCTCCTTCAGCCGTTACCCCGCTGCACTTCCTGTAGAGCATGCTGGTGACGATTTTCCCCTTTTCGTTTTACTTCGTTATGTTCAAATATTCGAACCATCAAGATCCGAACGGTCAAATCACTCATGTTGAAGGCTTATTGGGCCGTGCATGGTCCGATCTTTAATTAGGAGTTTGTGTTGAGAGAGATGACGCTTAATCGAAAGGGGGGGGGGGGGTGAGAATCCGCCCAAAAACTTGTGAAGTGTTCATCAATGGAGGATGGGGTCTATTGCAGCCTTCGCGTCATCAACATTGTTGAGTTCCTGCAGTGCTCTCAAGTTCCCCCCCCCTTTACTCGTTGAGCAGAGAACTCTCTCCTTCTCTCTCTCCCTTTCTGCAGTCTTCCTTTCTAACTGCAGTCTCTCTCTCTTTGGGCGTGCACAATCTCCCCCTCTTTCCCTCCTTCTATGTTCTTCTGGCGTTATGTCTGTTTGGACACGGAATCGAAATCCGTGCGGTCAGAACCTGCGTCTTCAAGTCCCCCTTGGGGGTATGCGGTCTGATCCGCAATAGGAGCTGGCAGTGGAGGAAGCTGGTCGACACCTCATCATCATGTCATAATGGCATGCGAAAATAAAATGAAAAAAAAAAAAAAAAAAAGTAGTCCAACCTTACTCGTTGGTCAAAAAGGTTCTCCAGTGGGGACGACACTCTCTGTTCTTCGTTGGTTGATCCCTTTGAATCCCACAGATCCAGATAAAAGAGTGGGAAGAAGATTTCGCTGTTCAGTCTTTCCCTCACCCACTCAGCTCTCCCCCACTTCGTGCTTGATTACTCTCTCTCTCTTTCTCTCTCTCCCYCTATCTCTCTGCAGTCTCTGTCTCTCTATCTCTCTGYAGTGTCCCTCTCTCTTTATAAGATCTSACTCCCTTTATTCTTTTTTAATTTATTATYATTATTATTTATTWWTATTTTTTTTTGAAGGAAATGCACATYTTSATTGAATAGCAACAACCGTTGTTCATGCAGATGATYYAGACYTCTTACGCAGCCATAGTGGCGTTCGAGCTGAAGACTRYTCACTTGAGGCCAGGTTCCCCCATCCATTTAGCAGGACCCATCAACAGTTGTAAGAGGCTGTTGCAGGCCTCATCAACAGGGGTAAGAGGCTGAAGCTGGTCCCATTAACAGCGGTAAGTGCGTGACGCTGGTCTCATCAGCAGCGGTGAGTGCTTGACGCTGGCCTCATCAACAGCGGT